ACGTGATGTCCCTCATAATTTATTTTGCATTATCGTCATTTTGAATTCTTTCAGCGTGTGCAACACACTTCTCCCAATCATTCTGTGTAACTGCATCCATAGCCGCGTGCGCCAACTTTTCAACATTTGCCATCTTAAAGGTGTTGTTGTTTTTGGCTACCTCCGCTTTAACCTGTGCCTAAATCAATTCTATGGGATTATAATGATTATATTGACAATGGTATGGAGGTAACCTGAAGACAGACTGTATGATCCATTTGTAGTGCAATTTTGTCAAGCTCGTACCGTTTATTCGCTGGAATGAGTTTTTTTATCCGCTCACGCAATTCGGATAACTGTTCTTGTGACGAAAATTCGATATTTTTTTTTTCAGCCACTCTTCAACAACGGCTTTCTGTGTATTGCTTTTGGGAAAATTGTCCATCAGCATTGAGTGGGGTACGACGCATTATCCATGACGATGACTGACGGCTCTTCAAGGTGATGTAACATTAAAATAAACCAATTTTTAAACACCTCGGCATTCATCGACGTATGGTAGTCACTCTCAAAACTGCTAACATTAGCTCGAAATATTAACTTCGAATCGTTAACAAAACTATACTTCGCAAATCCTGCGTGGCAAATTATGAGCCGTCCCACTTTTCTAGTAGAAAATTTTAATCCAGCGGTCTCTTTAGCATTTTGCCATATCCGTGATCGACTATGATTTTGGTTTATCCACGTTTCGTCTAAATAAATGACAGGACGGGTATCTTTTTGTTCGCGAAGCGTACATATTTTTCTTAAAAACGTACAACGTTGTGCGACAATGTCGTTTCTTTCCATCAGAAATTTCCTACCATCGTTGCATTTTTTGAAAGAAAATTTCAAATTTTTTAATAGCGAACGCATCGACCAAACAGAGCCTTATCAAGCGCACTTTTTCTTCATTTCAGTTAAAATTGTTAAAGCTGTTGGGTACTTACCTCTATCATAGAAATCATGCACTGTTCTGCGTACTATATCTGCATCATAATTCATAATCATCTAATTCCGTCAACGGTTTTGCACGTTTATATGTTTTATGCGGAGACTTGAACGTAGGACCTTGTTGTTCAAGATTATCGTTGTTCAGACCATCTTTGCCTTCTTTGCATATACGCCTCACAGTTCGCTCAGATAAGCCACAAGCTTCAGCAGTAACTTTAAGAGATTGAGCAAACATAGATGGAAGAATTTCATTTTTTTTGCCCGACTACGAGTATCACTACTTCTACTGGCCATTATAATTATAAAAAACGTTTAACTAAAAACAGTAATAATATAATAATAAATTGGTTTAACACAGTTTTTGAAGACTAATGTAACACAACACAACTCTGAACACGTGGAATAATTGTTGCCGAATGACAAATATCAGAACAGGGAAGCAAATTTTGTGTATACAATACACATTCTTTTTTTTTTATATAATCATATATAATACATTATATTATGTTATATAGTATATGGTGTGTAGGGAGGAGACTCCACCATATAATAAAACTACAATAACCGAAGGTAAATAGGGAAAAAAAGGTTTATAAAACCAAAACCGCCCGTACAGCTGGTTCACGGTGAACCAGTCGACGATGTATATCGATCGCACTCCTTGATTTTCATTATGAGAACCCCTGTTTTTAGCAAAAAAAATCATATTTATCATATTTATTATTTGCCATCGGCCACTTTTCATTCTCCCGACTATAGTCGAAATTATAACTTTAATCTGCCTTAGTCTAAACAAAATACAAAAATTTGTATAAAAAAGTGAGTTGCTTTTTAAAAATTCAATACATATCAGTAGCTGACATCAATTGTTTTAAATACTTAAAACATTGACTTTCAAATGTAATTAATATTATAAATATCCCAGTAAACAACATTTCATGTGTGATATTGGGTATAATTGCATAAACATAAACGATAATGCAGTTTAACAAAACATTTTTAATTTTTGTCTAATACTTAAGATAAGAAAAGTAACAAAGAGTAAATGCTTAAAAACAAATATCAAATACAAAATTTCTATTTAATGCAATACAAAAGTTGTAGTATTATAACTTGTACGGTAGACATATTATTATATATTTGTAAAATTAAACTTAACAAAAACAGAATATATAATTATATTTATATTATATCATAGAAAAACGTCATTATTTATAGTTATTAATGTACAACATGAATAATAATAAAAACTAAATTAACATGATAAACTACTAATTTAACAAAAAGATACAATATATAAATACAATTAAAAGAATAATTTACAACATTTAACTATAAGGCTTAGAATAATAAATAATGTCTGTTCGTGTGCAGCGCCCGACCGTGCAACACGTCTGTGTCGCTCATTACCGCATTTATAGCTATCAATAGCAGTAACACGCACCAATCGATTTAACGTGCAGGTAATATGATTATCGTTTTAACGTCAATTATACCAATTAAATAATATCTACAGTTCTTCACAACCTACACACTGTAATAAGACATTCGCTGAAATAGCTTCAAATACTATTTTACCGAAAATGAATCAAGCTATCGTTTTTAACACAATAAATAACATCAAACAAATCGATTATGTCACCGCAATCAGCAAAACTATTCCCGCTAAGAATTTACAATTTGTTTCGCGTATTTCCAATAACAGATTTTGCGTCTTCTTCAATAGCCAAACCGTTATGGAAAATTTACTTAAGATTCAGTTATCAATTCAAATTAATGGAATAGAAATCCCAATTCGCAGACTTATAAACACCTCTAAGAGAATTATTTTATCAAATGTTTACCCGACTATTCCCAATCAACTCATAATAGACGCTCTTCATGAGCAAGGAATCAAAACTGTTTCGCAAATTTCTCACATGAGAGCCGGATTCACCACTGAACAATTTTCTCACATATTAAGCTTTAGAAGACAAATTATATATAAGTTAAGAGAGCATATCCAAACTACCTAGTTCCATCACTGTTACAATAGAGAACACGACGTTCAGAATATTTATCACTGATGACACTGTAACCTGTTTCCAATGTCACCAAACTGGACACTTCTCGAGCCAATGTACAAATAAACCTAATCCAATTAATGTAACCGAACAGACAGAAACTGAAATGGAAACCCTTATAGACCTATCATCAACAGCCAACAATAAAATAAATGTATCTTGCCCTTTACCTATCGCCAATGCTCAAAATGTGAATACCTCCCAGGATAGAGATACTTCGTTTTTAAACCTATCCATTGAAAGTACCAATATCATCTCTTGTGAGCAGTCTAAAAAACCTACGCTAGCTGACAAACTAATATTGGCAGCTAACTCAAATACTAAAGTAAAGTCTCTTCAGACAGGAAAACGTCCAGCTCCGTCAACTGTAACCAATTCTCAGCCGCCTTCACCTACATCATCAAACTTGTCTTTCCCATCCAGCTCACCTCCAACCATGAGGGCCCCTATGACACAAGACGGCCAAACTTAATCAGCAAAAATAACCAAAGGAATTACAAGCAAAAAACTAAAAACTGGGCCTAGTTCCAGCTCTAATGATATAGTACATACAAACATCGATGAATGGTTAGAATCTACTCAAGAACTTTTTAACACACACCCTGATTTTTCCTTAACCTATAACCAATTTAAAGATTTTCTTGAATGTTCAAAAGGTTGCTCCGAACTCGAGAATTGATATATCAAATACTAAAGTAGTCCAGATAATATTATAGAAATCATATCTATGATTTACCCCAATGTAACAGTGAAAAGCGCTAAAAATCGTCTAACTCGGTTATCCAATGTATTAAAAAAAATTCAAAACTTCACTGACAGTCAGACTTCCATGATCGTCTGTGATGATGACGAAACCTTTTAGTTAAAATTCAAACCTCTATATCAGCGGTGCGCAACCTTTTTTGATCCACGACCCCCCAAAATAATTTATTTTTTAATACGACCCCCCTTCCTACCAACATTATGTAAGTGTGTAATTTAAATTTACTTAATAGTCTTAATGTATACACACATTTTATTCATATACATTAAATGGTTAATTTTAGAGCAGTTTTAATATTTCTTTAATTTAATTAATCAAAAACATGAAAAAAAAAATACAAAATTAGAGTTTTATAAAATCTAAATTTAAAAAATGTATCATTATAATGATAATCAAAAATTTTAATATTTTTAAAATTATAAAATTACTTTTTAATTATTTTAATGAGAGACCTGAGCTTGCATTGTAGACATGATTGATTCTATGTTTGGTTTGATATTTGACACTGCTACTCTTAAATCAGCTTCAACATTTAATCTGGAGCGATATTTGTTTTTAATTATCTTTAGTGTTGAAAATGCTGTTTCGCATAAATAAGTTGATGCAAAAGGAAGTAAAATTGATATAGCTTGTTTTGATAATTCTGGATATTCAGATTTGATGGAAATCCAAAATGTATCACATGCATTTTGTTGAAATCTGATACGTAGATTTTCATCTGATGACAAGTCAATAAGTTCTTCGCTTATTTTTAAATTTCCTAATTTTATTTCATTGATATTAAAATGAAATGGATTTCTTATCCAACCTAGACTTTCTTCTGGGAAATCTTCAAACCGTGCATTAAAGTTTGTTTGTAAACTTATTAGATGAGTAGTTATAATTTCTTTTATCATATTAATATCCACATCATTATCACTGAGGAATTCTGATAAACATGAGAACATTTCAAATTTGTCATCGTCGATATAATTTTCCACAGAAGAATTTTTTTTTTAAAAGCATTGATTTTATCAGAAAGAAATAAAATATTAGTATTTTTCCCTTGTAGGCTTAAATTTAAACAATTTAGTTTTTCAAATATATCTGCAAGATAACCCAGAATTGCAAGCCATTGCTCGTCTAAAAAATGTTCCGAAAGTTTATTATTACGTTCCAGAAGAAAAATTCGTGCTTCATCTCTGAGTTCAAAAAGGCGTGATAATATTACCACGAGACAACCACCTTACTTCAGTATGAAGAAGCAATTTTTCATGGTCAGAACCCATTTCATTGCAAAGTATAGTAAAAAGTCTGGAATTTAATTACTTTGATTTTATAAAATTTATTACACTTATAGCATTAAGGAGTACTTTATTAACATCTGGTTGAAGTTTTTTGGAAGCTAAAGCTTCTCTATGAATCATACAATGGTTAAACATTATATTTGAAGACACTTCTAGAACTTTAGCTTTAAAACCTTTTTTTGAACCAGTAAGGGCAGCTGCACCGTCAGTGCATATTGACACACACATTGACCAGGGAATTTCATTAATTTCTAAAAAATTGTTTATAAGAACAAAAATATCATTTCCAGTCGTACGTCCTTCTAATGGTTGACAAAATAAAAAGTCTTCTTCAATTTTATCTTTATAAATATATCTAACATATACAAGAAGTTGAGCAAGATTAGTTATATCCGTAGATTCATCTAATTGCATTGCATAATAATTTCCTCGTAATCTATTTAGGAGTTGTGATTTTATATTATTAGACATATTTTCAATTCGACGCGACACAGTATCTCTTGATAAGGGAATCATTTTTAATTCATTTGCATATGATTCGCCATGCATAATTGATACTATTTTTATAGCGGCCGGCAAAACTAGAGATTCACCAATAGAGTGTGGTTTTTTGGTTTTAGCAATTAAATATGAAGCCTCTAATGATGCAGCTAGAGCTTTTATAGGAACTGAAGAAAAATTACGCATAGTATTTTTTTGAACTTCTATCGAATTTTCATACCTTTTAAAAAAGTCTTCCTCTTTATGTTGGAATTGAGGATGTTTAGTAACTAAATGTCGTTTTAGCTTTGATGGCTTCATACTTTCTGAAGCTAATCTTTCTAAACAAATAACACATTTTGGCTCACCTTTTTCAACATCGAAAGTGAATCCAAACTTGATGTAACTGTCTTGGTATTTACGGTCCTTTTTATTAACTTTTCGACTGGTTTGTACATCTGACGACATTTCCGATACCTTACGAACTTTAGTTTCTATAGCACTTTCATCATCACTATTCATCGGTCGTTTAATTAAAAATTTATCCATTTTGTTTTAGTTTATATATTATAAAATATTAAAATATTAAAAATGTTAGTTTAAAATAATACAAAATACAAATAATTATTACAAGCTATACAAAATTATAAGCATTAATACGATTAACTCAACGGCTCGTACATGACTATCGGACTATTTCATAATAACCGTAAGATTAAATAAAATTACTGATTAAATTCAATTTAAAAATAACCCATATATATTATATAGAGTCTATATAAACAAATATTATACGTAAACAACTCAAACTTATCATGAACAATAACACCTTTCAAATCCTCCAATGGAATCCAAATGGATTCTATTCAAAAATTGATGAAATACAATTATTAATTAACAAGTTCTCACCAGTAGCTCTAAGTATACAAGAAACCAACTTCTCTATCAATAAAACTGGGTCTTTAAAAAATTATGTAACCTTTTTTAAAAATAGAGACAATTATAATAGGGCTACCTTTGTTAGTTCACAGTACCCTTCGGAAGAAATTCCTCTATTCACAAATCTAGAAGCAGTTGCCGTAAGAATTTTTCTCAAATACAAACTTAATATTTGTAATATTTATATATCCAACTCACAAATCTTCAACTACATTGATATTCAAAACATTATCGACCAACTACCTACTCCTTTTATACTCCTGGGAGATTCCAATAGCCATAATATCTTGTGGGGTTGCAATGACACAGATCAAAGAGGCACAATCATACAAAAAATACTCGATAATAACAACAACATAAATATTCTCAATAATGGTCAAGCAACAAGAATAAGTGCTAGCACCGGTAATTTCTCTGCAATTGATCTCTCTCTTTCGTCGTCAACTATATCACCCCATATTGAATGGGGCACTATGCCAGAGCTCTCGAGTAGCGACCATTTTCCAATTAAATTAACACTTAAGTATACCGACTCTGGTGACAAACACACTCGCAGTCTCAAATGGAAACTGACCAATATCAACTGGGATACCTATCAAACAGAAATAGAAAAAAATATATTAAATTATGATTTCTCAAATAACAATAATGTGGAAGACAATACGGAGAAACTTAGCAATTTAATTTATAATACGGCTTCTAATATTTTCGAGCAAAATAGTTATTCTGGCAAACGACCTCCAGTACCATAGTGGAATAAAACTATCAAACATGCAATAAGAAATAAAAAAACAACCTTCAATAAATTTAAACGTACACACGATTTCCACGACTTCATCGAATTTAAAAAGAACAAAGCATTAGTCAGATATTTAATAAAAAACGAAAAAAAAAAGCTTGGGAAAAATTCACGACAGACATCAATGGTAAAGAGTCAACAACCAATATTTGGAAAAAAATTAAAATCATTAAAGGTATTCCTATGACCCAAATTAAAACTATTCTATCTGAAAATGACATACTTACTGAACCTCAGGAATAGCTCAATCAATAGGCCAATACTTCTACTCTAACAGTAATGACGCTTCATTAACCAACGACTTCCTTAAGTACAAACAAGACAAAGAAAAATATATAAATACCCCAACAAACTTGCAATCCAACCATGGCTAAGGCAGCATCTTGAATGAACCGATTACCTTGCCTGAAATAAAACTGTCTTCGTGATAAAAAAAGCAAAAGCTGTGGGTCCGATAAAATTCCTTTTATTTTCTTACAAAACCTACCATCAAGTGGCAAATTGTTATTACTACATCTCTACAACCAAATTTGGGAAACGGGCATAATCCCAATCAAATGGAAAAATGCCATCATCACCCCTATTCCAAAAAAGAATCAAAATAGATTTAAACCTACAGGGTATCGACCAATATCTGTACTCTGCTGTATGAGCAAGCTTTTAGAAAAAATTATCTACAACCGACTTAATTGGTATGCTACTCAACATAAATCCCTTTCACCATGTCAACATGGTTTTAGAAAACACCACTCAACCACTGATTGTCATGTAAAAATCGAAACCGAAGTCATAGAAACTCTTGCAAATAAACAATCTATGATCTTAATAAGCCTCGATTTGCAAAAGGCATACGATACTGTTTGGCGATACAGAGTTATCAATCTACTTAAAAATTGTAATATACATGGAAACATGATAATATTTCTAACGAACTTCTTATACCAACGATCCTTAGTGCGTGTCAATGGGCGGCCCGTTAACGGCTTAATCGATACAGGCAGTTTAGCCGTGCTGATGCGTATATCAGCCGCCCGCGAGTGTAACGTCGCAATACGCGATACCGTGTGTCCTCTTTACACCGTCGGCAACGCCATGCAGCCAAGTGCTACCACGATTGGTGAAGGCGACGCCGAAGTTTCGATCGACAGTGTGTTAGCAGCATAGGCGTGCGCAAACCTCTTGTTCAGGGTATGCAGAAGCACTGGCGGATCCAGAAGGGGGGCAAAATTGGCATTCTCCCCCCCCCCCCCCCAATCACCTTAGTTTCCCATTGTTTACAGTGTTTATACTGTGTTTAGCTAATTTTGTAATTTTACCTCCCCCCCCAAATTAAGCACTGCATTACCACAGGCACCCCCTGAAAGTTATTTTAAGAATGTAAAATTCTGATAAAATATATACACAATACACAAATATTAAAATGTCTTACTGTTTAATTCAAAAAAATTTAGTTAAAACTCAAATAAAAATAAAAATAAAAGCGATAAAACTTAAAAAAGTTATGTCATACAACTTGTACAATTAAAAAACAAAAAAAACATTATCATATTAATAAATAATATATTTTATTATAACACCATTCTGCGTTGTGTAGAATTTTTGAAATGATCAATTACATCGTCGGGATTTAAGTTAATGCCATTTCTTGTTCTACCGTTATCAGCATCAATGCATTTAGTCTTTCTTGAAGCATAGTACTTCTTAACTTAGATTTTACTAAAGTTAATTTTGAAAACGATCGTTCACATGTACAACTTGTGACCGGTATAACTGAAAACTTCTTTAAAATGTTAGTAAATTGTCCAAAAATATTTTGTTTATCATAATTTTTTAACCATTGAAGCCAAATATGAAGCATTTTATCGCTCAAGTTGCCTTCAATTTGTCTTGTTATTGTTTCATTTTTTTGTAACAAATTAATTTCAGCTACCAATTCATCTTTATTGCATTTAAAATGATTGCTTAATAGATTTATATCTGTGATACATATTTTTAATTTCATTAATCCATCAACTGCATTTATTAGATTAATAGCGTCTTGATTGAATCTTTCATCAATTCCACTAATCATAATATCAAGCATAGGAAAAAATGATTGGACTCTTAATTCTTCCTCTAATGATTGTGCTTGGAACTGTGAATTAATATTGTCGATACGAGTTGAAACTTTTCGTTTTGTGGGTAATGGTAATGGAACATCAATTTTTTCACATATAGAAGTACAAATATCAAACATAGTTTTAAATGTATTTTCATTTCTTTTTTCAATAAGCACTGATCGAAGAGCGTTAATATTATACATTGCTGATGATAAATCAACATTTTCACACTGTAATGATTTACTTACTTTATTTATAATTTGTAGAATTGGATCCATCATTTCAAGTCCTAAAATAAATTGAAAAGTTTTGAGTTGAAACAATAAACCCTGTCCTTTAGCTCTAAAATCTGGTTGTTTTGTTCTATCTACTATTTCTTCAAGTGCTAATAAAATAGCCGAATAATTATGTTTTAAAGCTGACACTGCCTCAGAGCGACAGGCCCATCTTGTTGTAGATAAAGATTTCATTGGCTTTAACGATGCATTTATATCAGCTGATATTCGTTCCAAAACTGCATGGCGTATATCACTTCCTTCAATAAATGAATAAGTTAACTGTAGTACTCCAAAAAAATCAAATACAATTCTATTTTCTTTTCTAGATGTACAAGCATCAACAAGAATTAAATTAAGACAATGTGCATAACAGTGTACGTACATTATACTCGAATTTACTTCTTTACACTTAGCTTGTATCCCTGAAATACAACCGGACATGGTAGAAGCCCCATCAAAACACACTGAAACAACATCTCTCCACTGAATTTTTAAATTTTTTAGTACCATTGATACCTCATTAAAAATTGACTGTGAATCAACAAGCTTCAATCTTTAAAGTCCAACAAACCTTTCAATAGGGTTAAATGTGTCATCATCAAAGTAACGAACAACAATTGACATTTGTTCATGATGACCCATATCTGTGGTGTCATCAGAAATAATAGATACTGGTTTACTTTGAACATTTGATATTTTTAAAAGGAGCATAGTGTTCTCAATACTATTTAACATGTCATTTTGAATGCGATTACTTATATAAGTTGTATTCCTTGCTCCGTTTTCTAAATGATTCTTAATAACAGGATCATATCTATAAAGAAGATGTACTATTTCTAAAAACAATCCTTTTTCAAAACTGTCATTTTTTTCATTATGTCCTCTAAGAGCTCGACCACCTTTCGTTAAAGTAATTATTATATCAATGAGTCTCTTCATAATAGTTCGATTAGCAATTCTTTGTACTTCTTGACGACTTATTTCTAATTGTTTTTCTTTTACTAGTATTCCATCAATTGGATTTTCAGATAATATATTTACGCTACTAATATGAATAGACGTTATTTGATGTGCTTTAAACTTTGTGGTAGCAATATTTCAGCCTCTAAATCCAGTTTTTGTATATGCTTTATCAGCATGACCCCTTTTTGAAGAAATTTCACGAGCAAAACATCGACATGGGAAGCAAAATGCAGCATCCAAGCATGGACTGTATTCCAACCAATTAAATTGACTATACCAATTATCATGAACATTTCTTTCTGAAGCACCCAATTTTCTTCGAGGAAATATTATGGCATGTGGCTGAAATGGGCCTTTTTTATTCTTTCCATTTTTTCATATCGATTGGAACTTATAGAGACCGGATCTGCGGGATCAGTGATAGTCTGGAATTGTATAATTTAATTTAAATAAGAA